CCCTCCCTTCTCTCCCTCCCTCTCTCCCTTCTCTCTTTCTCTCCCGTCCCTCACTCCTACCCTCCCTCTTCCTCTCTCTCTCTCTCTCTCCCTTTCTCCCTCCCTTTCTCTCTCTCCCTTCTCTTTCTCTCCCTCTTTCTCGACCTCCCTCCCTCTCTCCCTTCTTTCTCTTTCACTCTCTCTCCCTCTCTCTCTCTATCGCCCTCCCTCTCCTTTCTCTCTCCCTCTCCCTTCTTTCTCTTTCACTCTTTCTCTCTCCCTTCTCTTTCTCGACCTCCCTCTTTCTTGACCTCCCTCTTTCTCGACCTCTCTCCCTTCTTTCTCTTTCACTCTCTTTCTCCCCTCTCTTCTCTCTCTGTCTCCCTCTATCGCACACCCTCTTTCTCTCCTTTCTCTCTTTCTCCCTCTCTCCCTCCCTTTCTCTCTCCCCCTCTCTTCCCCCCCTCTCCCTTTCTCTTTCTCTCTCCCCTATCACTCCCTTCTCTCTCTCTCTCTTTCTTTCCCCCTTCCCTCCCTCCCCCCTCTGCCCACCCACCTCCCTCACAGGGAAATCCATGCTGCTGTCGGCCATCGGGAAGCGGGAGGTGCCCATCCCGGAGCACATTGACATCCACCACCTGACCCGGGAGATGTCGCCCAGCGAGAAGACGCCGCTGCAGTGCGTGATGGAGGTGGACACGGAGCGGGCCATGCTGGAGCGGGAGGCCGAGCGCCTGGCCCACGAGGACGGTGAGGCCGCGGGGACGGCCGGGCGGCTACCTCTCTGTGGCAGGGGAGCCGGGACTCTCGGGCTCAGTCTGCCCTCTCCCTCTCCCTCTCCCTGCAGCCGAATGCGAGAAGCTGCTGGAGCTGTACGAGCGGCTGGAGGAGCTGGATGCGGACAAGGCGGAGGCGCGGGCCTCCCGGATCCTCCACGGCCTGGGCTTCACGCCCCTCATGCAGAGGAAGAGCCTGAAGGACTTCAGCGGCGGCTGGCGGATGCGGGTGGCGCTCGCCAGGTGGGTGGTGCTGCCAGTCTGGCCCTTCTGGGACCCCCCCTCCCCCCTCTGGGCCGACCTTTGCCGTAGCGGAGGCTGTTTTTCTGAGGGGTTCCTCTCTCCGCAGGGCGCTCTTCATCCGGCCCTTCATGCTGCTGCTGGACGAGCCCACCAACCACCTCGACCTGGACGCCTGCGTGTGGCTGGAGGAGGAGCTGAAAACGTGAGACGGGCATCCCGGCGCTTGGAGGGGGGGCTGCCTTCCCAGGGGCGGGGGTGTTCTTCGGCTGGGGGCGG